CCATAGTGGCTATACCAATTTACATTTCCACAGCAGTGTACTGTTTTCTCCACAACCTCTCCAATGCTTGTTATTATTTGTCTTGATGATAATAGCCATTCTAACTGATATGAGGGGTATCTCATGTAGTTTTGATTTCCATAATAGCTAGTGAAGTTGAGCACTTTTCATATGTTTGTTGGCCATTTGTATGTCTTTTTGGGAAAAGTGTCTATTCAGGTCCTCTGCCTATTTTAAAATTGGATTGTTTGTTTTTTTTTGTTGTTAAGTTGTATAAGCTCTTTATATATTTTGGATATTAGCCCTTTATCGGAGGTGTTGTTTGTAAATATCTTCTCCCATTCGATTGGTTGCCTCTTTGTTTTGTTGATGGTTTCTTTTGCTGTGCAGAAGCTTTTTAGTTTGATGTAGTCCCCTTCATTTTTCTTTGCTTTTACTTCCCTTGCCTTTGAGGTCAAATTTATAAAGTCCTCTCTAAGACCAAGGTCCATAAGTTTAGTACCTATGTTTTCTTCTGTGCTTTTTATTATTTCAGGTCTTATATTTAGGTCTTGGATCCATTTCGAGTCAATTTTTGTGTATGGTGACAAATAGCAGTCTACTTTCATTCTTTTGCATGGAGCTCTTTAATTTTCCCAGCACCGTTTATTGAAGAGGCTTTCTTTTCTCCATTGTATGTTTTTGGCTCCTTTGTCAAAAATTATTTGCCCATATATGTGTTGGTTTATTTCTGGGTTTTCAGTTCTGTTCCATTGGTCTGCATGTCTGTTTTTCTGCCAATACCATGCTGTTTTGATTGTTGCTTTGTAGTATAATTAGAAGTCAGGAAGTGTGCCACCTCCAATCGTGTTCTTTTATCTCAGGATTGCTTTGGCTATTCGGGGTCTTTTGTGGTTCCATACAAATCTGGTAGTTTTTTTGGTTCTCTTTCTTTAAAAAATGCCATTGGGATTTTGATGGGGATTGCACTGAATCTGTATATTGCTTTAAGTAATATCACCATTTTAACTATGCTGATTTTTCCTGATCCATAAACATGGAATATCTTTCCATTTCTGTATGTCTTCTTCAATTCTTAAAAAATAGTGTCTTGTAGGCTTCAGTGTACAGGTCCTTCACATCTCTGTTAAGTTTATTCCTATGTATTTTACTTTTTGTTGCAATTGCAAAAGGAATTTTTTTTCATTTCTTCTCAAGTTTCATTGTTAGTATATATGAACACAGTGATGTTTGTACATTGATTTTGTATCCTGCAACTTTAGTGTATTTGTTTGTTGTTTCTAATAGTTTTTTGGTGGAGTTGTTAGGGTTTTCTGTATAAAGAATCATGTTGTCAGGCCGGCCGAGTGGCGCGTTGGTTAAGAGCTGGCTTGGGACGCCAGAGGGCCCCGGTTCGGATCCCACATATGAAGGCCAGTGACACTGCCCTCTACAGCTAAGATGCTGAACAACAGCTCGACCTGGAGCTGGGCTGCCGGGAGTTGCCGACAACGGCAGGTGGGTTGCCATGTGCTACCGTGTGTAGCCAGCAGCCAGCGTGAGCGGCCAGCAACCACAGTGAGCCACAGTGAGCAGCTGTCCAGAAGCCGGCGACTGATCTCCCTTGCCTGGGAAGAGCGCAATGATGGTGCCAACTTGGGCCAGTGAAGCAACGTCCTCCACAGCTAGACTGAAGAACAAAAGGACAGCAGCTTGTCTGTTCCCCTTCCCCCAATTCCCCAATTAAAAAAAGAAAAAATCTTTAAAAAAAAAAAAAGAATCATGTTGTCTGCAAAAAGTGACAATTTGACTTCATCATTCCCAGCTTGGATGTCTTTTATTGCTTTCTCTTACCTGATTGCTCTGGCTAGGACTTCCAATACTATATTGAATAGCAGTGGTGAAAGATGGCATCCTTAGGTTGTTTCTGATCTTAGAAGAAAAGCTTTTAGTTTTTCACTAGTAAGTATGATGGTTAGCCGAGGGTTTGTTGTTTATGGCCTTTATTACATTGAGGTACTTTCCTTCTATACCTATTTTATTAAGTGTTTTAAGCATGAATGGATGTTGTATCTTGTCAAATGCTTTTTCTCCATCTATTGATATGAACATATGATTTTTATACTTCATTTTGTTTATGTGGTGTATCACACTGATCAATATGCATATGTTGAACTATCCTTGTGCCCCTGGAACGCCACTTAATTGTGATGTATAATCTTTGTAATGTATTGTTGTATTCATTTTGCTACTGTTTTGTTTAGGATTTTTACATGTGTATTCATCAGACATATTTGTCGTTTTCTTTTTTTGTATTATTCTTGTCAGGTTTTGGTATCAGGATCGGCTTTATAAAATAAGTAAGGAAGTATTGCCTGTCACTTTTTTGGAAGAGTTTGAGAAGGATAGGTATTAAATCTTTGAATGTTTGGTAGAATTCATTAATGAAGCTATCTGGTTTGGGACTTTTACTTTTGGGGAGATTTTTGATGATTGTTTTAATTTCCTTACTATTGTTCAGCCTGTTTAGATTTTTCCAGTTCTTTGTGATAGGAAAGTTATATATTTCTAAGAGCCTGTTCATTTCTTCTAGGTTACAGTTTGTTGGCATGCAATTTTTCACAGTATTCTTATATGATCCTTTGTATTTTTGTGGTATCCACTGTAACTTCTCCTCTTTCATTTCTGATTTTATTTGAGTGTTTTCTCTTTTTTCCTTAGTGAGTCTAGCCAGGGGTTTGTCAATTTTATTTATTTTTTTGGAAAACCAGCTCTTTGTTGCATTAATTTTTTCTGTTGTCTGTTCTCTATTTCATTTAACTCTGCTTTAATTTTTATTAATACCTTTCTTTTGCTGGCTTTCAGTTTTGTTTGTTCTTTTTGTTTCTTTTTTTTTGTATTTTAAAGGTTTTTATTGGTGAATTGGGGGGATGGGAACAGTGCTGGGGAATTGGGGGAAGGGGGACAGACAAATTGCTGTCGTTTTTGTTCTTCAGTCTAGTTGTGGAGGATGTTGCTTCACTGGCCCAAGTTGGCACCATCATTTCGCTCTTCCCGGGTGAGGCAGATCAGTCGCCGGCTTCTGGACGGCCGCTCACTGCAGCTGCTGGCCGCTCACGCTGGCTG